TACTTCTTGGAAACCCTAAGCAGGGTCACTATGAGTCGGAACTGGCTCAATGGCTGTTAACAACAGCAACAACAACAGTAACTTCTTTGGTTAGACTGATGGCTCCATACCATAATCACTTTACTACGAAGCACAAGATTCACAGTTCCAGCCTACCAGCAGCTCTGGAGGTTGCTATGAGTTGGAATCAACTCAACAGCACTTAGTTGCTCAACAAAAACAAATAACTTATTCGTTATAAATACATTTTTTTTTAAGCAGCATGATTGTACATGAACCCCACCAAATGGAATACACAGAAATCAAATTGACTACATCTTTGGGAAGAGACATTGGAAAAACTGAATATATCATCACTCAAAACAAGACCAGAGATAGACTGTGGAGCAGACCATCAGTTGCTCTATTTACTGCATATGCAACTTCATGCTGAAGGTGAAGAAAATGAAAACAAATTAAGTGTCGCTAGGTGCCATTGGGTTGGTTTTGACTCATAGTGATCCTGTTATAGGGTTTCCAACCTTGTGGTCCAAAAGTGATGGTTCAGTCCAGTGCTTTATCCTACAGTGCTGCACCAGGACTCCAAACAAGTCCAATAGAACCAAAATATGGCCTTGAACATTTCCCACTTGTATGTGGAGATCATCTTAAGAACAGAATTGATGGACTGGACACTTATGACCGAAGACCAGAAGAGATGTGGGAAGATATCAAGAACAGCATAAGGAAAAAGTCATTAAGAAGATAAGAAAGAAAAGACCAAACTGGATGTCAGAGGAGACTTTGAAACTTGCTCTCCAGTGTAGAGATGCTAAAGCAAATGGAAGGCATTAGAACGTAAAAGAGCTGAACAGAAAATTTCAAAGGGCAGTTAAAAAAAAAAAAACGAAGTCAAATATTATAATGAAATGTGCAGAAGGAAAACCAAAAGAGAAGAACATGCTAAGCATTCTTCAAGCTGAAGGAACCAAAGAAAAACTTTAAGCCTCAACTTGAAATACTGAAGAATTCTATGGGCAAAATATTGAATGCTGCAGAAAGCATCAAAGGAACATAGGAGAAACACAGAGTCACCTAACCAAAAAGAAATGGTCATGTCCAACCATTTCAAGCGGTAGCATATGATCAAGAGCCAGTGGTACTGAAGGAAGAAGTCCAAGTTGCATTGATGGCATAGGAAAAGAACAAGGCTCCGGGAATTGATGGAATATAAATTTTAATTTTTCAACAAACTGATGCAGCACTGTAGGCACTCACTCATTTATGCCAAGAAATTTGGAAGACAGTTACTGGGCCAGCTGATTGGAAGAGATCCTTATTTATGCCTATCCAAGGAGAGATGACCCAATAGAATGCAGAAATCATGGAACAATATCATTAACATCGCATGCAAGATAATTAAAAACTGTCTGCAACACTACATTGAAAGGAAACGCTCATAAGTTTAAATTATATTCAGACAAGGACATGAAACGGATATCATTGCTGATGTCCGATGGATCTTGGCTGAAAGCAGAGAATACTAGAAAGATTTTTACCTGTGCTTTATTGACTATACAAAGACTTTTGACTGTGTGGATCATAAAAAGCTAGGGATAACATTGCAAAGAACGTGTATTCCAAAACACTTAATTGTGCTCATGAAGAATCTGCACATAGACCAAGAGGTAGCTATTTGAACAATATAAGGGGACACTGAATAGTTTAAAATAAGGAAAGGTGTGTGCCAGGGTTGTATTCTTTCATCCTACTTATTCAGTCTCTTTGCTGTGCAAATAATCTGAAGCTGTATTACATGATGAACAATGCAGCATCAGGATTAGAGGATATGCAGATGATGCCACTTTGCCTGTTGGAAGTAAAGAAGACTTAGAATACTTACTGATGAAAATCAGAGATCCACAGCATTCAGTATAGGTTGCACCTCAGTCTAAAATAAGCAAAAACCTCACAACTGGATCGGTAACTAACATGATAAATGGAGAAAAAAACTGAAGTTGTCAAAGACTTAATTTTGCTTGAATCCACTATCTACATTTATTTTTATAGATATGTCCTTTAGATATTGGAAGCAAAAAATGTTATTTATGGCCAACTTTTGCTTTTTTCCACTGACAAGTACGATTAAGGCTCACTACTGATGGAAATAATGCACTTGACAATAGTGTCTCTTGTTCACTTGTCTCTTTATTAACAATTGAAATACAGTCATTATTGGAGAATTGGCTAACAGTTGCATTTCAGACCCTCACACATGCTTTGTCTTTGTTCTGTTACTTACTACCTTGTCATTTTTTGTTTTCTTTCCCTTCTTGGCCCATTCACCTGTACTTGTGACATGGATTTAAAATTAGAAAATTTAGGGGTAAGTTTCAATTTTGATGTATAGTATTTTGAAATATAAATTATATCCTAACAGAAATCAGGATTGACTTTTCTTAAGGTTGTTATTTTGCTCATATGCAAGTTCAGGCTGAAACTCATGAAAATTAAAACAAGTCCACAAGAGCCAAAGTATGACCTTGAACATATCCCACATAATATTTAGAGACTATCTTAACAACAGAGTTGATGCATTAGACACTATTGACCAAAGAACAGAAGAGTTGTGGAATGACATCAATAATACCATACAGGAAGAAAGCAAAAGGTCATTAAAAAGACAGGAAAGAAAGAAAAGCCCAAATAGTTCTCCCTTTAGGAATGCAGCATTGTATGCACTCACTCATCTATGGCAAGAAATTTAGAAGACAGCTACCTGGCCAAGTGATTAAAATATATCCATATTTGTACCCATTCCAAAGACAAGTGACCCAACGGGAAACCATCAAATAATATCATTAATATAGCATGCAAGTAAAATTTTGCTGAAGATAATTAAAAAATGGTTGTAGCAATATATTGACAATGAGCTTCCAGAAATTCATCGTGGATTCGGAAGAGGAAGTGGAAGAAGGGATATTATTGCTGACCTCAGATGGATCTTGTCTTAAAAAAGAGAACACAAGAGATAACGTTTACCTGCGCTTTTGACTAAACTATAGCATTCAACTGTGTGAATCAAAACAAATTATGGATAACTTTGCAAAGACTGGATATTCCAGAACACTTAATTGTGCTTATGAGGAATGTGTACATAAACCAAGAGGCATTCCTTTGAACAGAATAAGGAACAACGTGTGTTCTAAGACTGTATTCTTTCACCATACTTATTCAGTCTTTGTGCTGAGCAAAGAAACTGGCTTATGTGGGCAGAAAAATTCAAGAAACTGGATTATATGAAGAATATTGTGGCATCAGGATTTGAGGCACACTCAATAACTAGTGCATTGACTCCCCATGCTGGAACTGGACCTGTCATCCCCCCTCCCCCCTGCTCACGTACCTTCATCACATTTAGTGAAGATGTAATATACGAGGAATGGTTCCCCCAGGGGGTCGGCCTCCAAAAGTCCCTGTTCCGGAAGTCTGCCCAGTAACTCATCGCCCAGCCTTGTACAGGGACCCTGTTACAGACATACCCTACGCTACTGCTCGAGCTTTCAAGATCATTCGTGAGGCCTACAAGAAGTACATTACTGCCCACGGACTACCACCAACTGCCTCAGCTCTTGGCCCTGGCCCACCACCTCCTGAGTCCCTCCCTGACCCTGGGCCCCGAGCCTTGCGTCAAAAAATTGTCATCAAATGAAGATGTCTACTCCTTAGAAACCTCTATACTATTCCGTCTTGGGTCTCAAAATTCCTCCTCCTCTCTCTGCTTCTATCATCTCTGATATTTCTTTACCCAACCCATTTTTCTTTCCCCTTAGTTCCTGCTGGTTTGATGTTTTTTTAATCTAATAAAATTGATGATCCCTTTTGAAAAAAAAAAAAATTCGGCTGGGTGGGATGCACTCAATATGTAAATGATACAATATTGCTTGCTGAAAGTGAAGTAGAATGTATTGATGAAGTTCAAAGACATTGCCTTCAGTATGGATTGCACCTCACTGTAAAAAAAAAAACAAAAAAACAAGTATCCTCACAACTGGACCAATAAATAGCATCATGATAAATGGAGAAAATATTGAAGTTGTCAAAAGACTTCATTTTGCTTAGATACACAGTCACTAGTCATGGAAGCAGCAGTCAAGAAATCAAACAACATAATGCATTAGGCAAGTCAGCTGCACAGACCTCTTTAAAATTTTCAATAATGAAGATACCAGTTTGAGGACTGATGTGCACCTGACTCAAGCCATAGTATTTTCTACAGCCTCATATGCATGTGAGTGTTGGGTAGTGAATAAGGAAGACTGTAGAAGAGTTGATACATTTGACTTATGGTGTTGTAGAAGAATATTTAAAATACCTTGGACTGCTAGAAGAAAAAACAAATCTGTGTTTGAAGAAGTACAGCCGGATTGCCCCTTAGAAGCAAGAATGATGAGAATTCCTCTCTCATAGTTTGGCCATATTATCATGAAGAATCAGTCCGTTGGGAACAGTATGCTTGGTAAAGTGGAGGGTCAGTGAAAAAGAGCAAGACCCCCAACTGGATGGATTTTCACTTTGGTAGCAATAATGGACTTAAGTGTACAATTGTGAGGATGGTGAAGGTTTGGGCAGAGTTTCTTTCTCTTGTGCATAGGGTTGCAGTGAGTTGAAACTGATTCTTCAGCACCTAACAATAAAATTCTTGAAAAGTGAGTGAAGGTATCCAGAGTAGAATATCATGTTACATCAATAAATCATATATTTTGTTTTTTCTTAATCATTCCAGTCTCTCCCTATGAGTCTGATTGATTTCTCTTATATACTTTTCCTTATATATTGAGGATTTAAAGAGCTTAAATGCATTTGTTTTTTGGTCATCCTAAATATTAGGAAATTTACATTTTATTTAGTTGGAAGACATAATGAATAATCTATGGAAAAATACTTATATATCCAGAATAATTGTATATATATTTTGGGTAGTTCGCTATTGCTGAAGACTTGTTCTTTAATCATTCCAGGAAAGAAAGGAAAAGCTATCCAAATTTGAGTCTCTTCGTCATTCAATTGCTGGAATAATTAGGTCTCCAAAATCTGCATTGGGCTCTTCAACAGTAAGTAAAATTAGCTTTGTGTTCTATTGAAAATGTGTTATACCTAACTTTTTTTTCTGATATTTTCATGAAAGGTATATATGAATTTATTATTCTCATGACTAGAAAAATAACTTAATAGTTTAATTTTTTTTGTATGCTTCTAAATCTGTGTACTTTGTAAAACCTCATTAACATTGATATAAGAATGACAGAAATAAATATGTCCTGGTATGGCAGTATGGGTTAATGTGCTGGACTGCAAGGTCAGTTTGAATCGCAAGGTTGCTGGTTCAAGCTCACCAGCTGCTCCTTGGAAACCATACACAGGGTTGCTATGATTCGGAAATGACTTAATGGCACTTGACAATGTAACACAACAACATAGTCTTTTTATACTATATATCAATAATTAGGGGGAACATTTTAAATATTTCAAGACTTACTAGAAGAGTGGTATAAACATATTTCATTCAATAATTACTATTTATTTTCATAGTGATCAGTTTATATATGTGTCCTTGTTTTAAAAATTTTTATTGTGAATTAGGTAAAAGTTTATAGATAATATCATCAACTTTACATTCAACAAATGACATACTTTGTTTCATCTCAATGACTACAATCCTTTTCCTGCAACAACAGTTATCCTGCTTCCTCCCTGTGGCTCTCCATTTACATTTTCTATTCCACAAATTAGCAAAGCAAAAGTATTTGATTTACACCTAAAAAGCAACAAAAATATATTAATTTAAATGTCCAAAGGACACATTTTGCCATCCAGTCTCTGGTAGCATAGTGGTTACGAATC